ACAAATTGTGCGTTTTTCGAGGGGGGTAGGGGAAGAGGAGGGGCAGCGGCAGGGTAGCGTAGCGGCGGACACAGACCGAGCGGGAGAGTTCAAATTATGAATAAATAAAGAGTAGAGCCCAGAAGAAGAAGGCAACTATAAAAATCAAAATAAATACAGAAACAAGAAAACAGAGCTTGCTTTTGGGAACATAAACGTTTGATACCCTTGAAGATCCATAGAATCCATGAAACATTTATAGAATTCTCATCAAATTTAGAGGATCATTTGACTGATCTTTCATATGAAATATTTTTATTAGCTGCTGTTCTTTCGATGGATACCATCATTAGAGTTCCAATTTATGATCTAGCAGAATGTTTCATTAAGAAACAAACCCATTACCAAAATCATTACACCCTACCTAAGGCAGGGTATCGCACAAGCAACAACGGATTGCAGTCGCAGTCAAAGCTGAGCTACAAGTCAGCGACGCGCCCACGGACAGCGGCAGAGACAGAGGAGCAGCCGAAGCTGCCGCAGAAACAGAGATAAAACAGGGACGCCAAGAGGAACACCAAAGACAAAGCCGGTTTGCAGGAACTTAGGCGCAAGGCAGAACCCCGAGAAGGAAACAGAGGAAGAGCCAGAAAAGTGCGGAATGGAGCACGCAAAACAAAAAAAGGAAGGAAACAAACATCAAGCCCCAACGACAGCAGCAATCGGGGAAGACCACGATAGAGAGAGAGAGGGAGAGAGACAGAAAACAAGATCCAGTCGCATCCATCCCCCCTAAATCATTCATCAACTGCACTTCGGAGCCGTAAGGCGATCGTTCCCCAACAACAAAAACAGAACCAGCAAACGTTTTTTGTTTTTTCGTTTTTTGTGTGCGAGTATGAATGAAAACGAACGTGTTTTCTGGCTGAGAGATGCAGAGAGAGAGCGAGAGAGAGAGCTGGCGCGGCTGACTGCGACGCCGGTAGCAATGGGATGAATGAAATGAGCGCCAAAATGAATGAAAGTAGTGGGGCGCAGGCAGAGAAGTCGACGTTGACGTTGGCGTTGACAGCGCAGAGCGCTCTCTGACTTTTGCTGTTCGTTCTCTCTGCTGCTGCTGGCTGTCGCTCTCTGTCTCCGGCTCTCTCTGATGTTGGCGCTCGTTCAAAGCATTTTTATAATATTATTTTCATACAAATCTCTTAGGCCATATTTAATAAGAAAAAAATTTAATTTGCCTTATTTATTTGTTTCTTTTTTTCCGCATTATTTTTTTTGTGCTTGTTATTTTCAAAGTTTATGATTAATGAGAGATGATTAAAGCGCGGGCAGTTCGTATATACAACTTGTATGTATATACATACATGTATGTATGCATATGTAAATATGTGTGCGTGTTAAAATAAGGGCAGCCCTGTCCGTATCTTTTATCCACAAAAATGTAAACTAAATGTACGTGACTGCGCCTTCTGCTCCTCTTCAGACTCTCCTTCTGCCTCTGCCACAGCCTCTTTTTCGTTTTCTTCTGACTGATGTTCCCCCCTTTTTTTTTATCCCATGCCCATTGAAGAGGGGTCTCCTCCTTGGGCAGCATCTGCGCAGTTGTCGCCGTTTTTGCATGTTTTTTTTTGTTTTTGTTTTAGTGATTTCTATGCCCTAGACTTGTAGATAGCAGGAGTATGTTTGGTTTGCGAAAAGCTATGTAACAGGTCCTTGCTTAGACCAGAGACTAGTGTGTGAAATGTTTGTTCTTCTTCTGAGGTTCTAGTTCTCCAATATCCTTTTCGCCTCAGTTACATTTCTTTACGGGGTATCCGTATGGTCTGTATATCGTTTTATTGTCCATTTCTGTTGCCATTTTATGGTCCGCGATCTCTTCTAGCGACGCGACGAGCGAAAAGTTCATGCTGTCGTAAGGGACTCACTCCTCGGTTCCCACAGATGTGTGTGTGCTAGAGAGAGTACGAGCATGTTTTCTATATATATATATATACAGCACTACTATATACACTACGAGTATACATATGTACACATATTTAGTTGGGCACTGACTCTTCGTCTTTGGGGTTTTGTTGTTGTCGCTGCGTTGACATTGAAATTGTGTTTGCGCTTTTGTTGATCTCTACGCAGCGATAAGACATAAATATTATACATAAATACTTTTTACGTTTGTTTTTTTTTCGGGGTTTCGGTTCGAATTTGGTGTTTCTTTCCTTGCAGTGTATCCCCCACAGATTCTGTTTTATTTCTATAAACATTAAAAACAGCACTAAAATGGTTTTTACCCGGTGGCTCTGTTTCTTTGAGGAGCCCACAGCTGACAGTAGGCTTTGTTCTTTATGGCCCGATGGCACAGATACAACAAAGATACAGATACATTTCCCCACTGCTCTAGATTGCGGGTTTAAAAATCGTGCAGAAAATACTATGGAAATCCTTAGGAATGGACCCTGGCATGAAAAGTAAAGAATTGAGAACAGTTCCTTGAATATTCTTAATCTCAAAACAAAGTTCTCTGAAGCGATTGAACCCATTAAGGCCTTAAATCTTCGTAGAATTAAAGATACGAGCAGTACGCGTATACTCGGTGGAAGAAGTGCCTTTGGAGTGGAGTTTTGCCCTGAGTGCCACTACTCATAAGTACAAGTGTCTTTCCCAGTATTTAGTGTTATTATCGAATCACAAGAATTTCCCATTATTAACACATACTTTTTTGGTACATTGTTCTCTTGCTTTGGCAGCAAAACATCAGGGCAAAAGATGCATAACAAATTACCATAAAACGTTGTCCAACACACACAGATATATCTGCATGTGTTCGTGTGTGTATCTGTGTAATAGATAAAGCATAGTAGACACATGTCAAAGCGGGGCAGCAGCAACAACAGGAAGAGGTCTGGGAAGAGACATCGAAACTTTAAATACTCTTAAAAGGATCGAATCATTCATATTTCGGCTAGGAATCCATTCCCTGTTACAATGTTCCCATAAGCGAAAAGAAGTTCCACACCTTTTTAGTGGTCTGATCTTTGTCGCTTTCGAAATCATAATACCCTCTTATCTCTATGTATGCAAAGGGTATAAAAACGACAATGTTTTGTCACATTACGTATACGATCAGTGGACTGACAAACGGATGGATGGCTGGATGGAGGGCTGGCGGGGCTGCCTGAGTGAGTGACTGACTGACGTATTGCCTGATTGACAGCAGCAGCAGCAACAGTTGAATGGGAAGAGCATTGGGGGGGGGGGAGTAGAAGGTAAAGTAACCCTCTGCATATTTTTCAGATATTTATTTCGTGTTTTTTCAAATGCAAATGTATTTTTTTTTTCTTTTCTTTCAAAGAGGAAGCCCCAAAGGGGATTGAAAGAGTGACTGAATGAATGAAAGAGCAAATGATTGGGTAAATGAATGAATGAATGTAAGTTCTCTCTTGGCATTTTGCCGGATTTTCTGAGGAAGGAGGCAGGCACACTGGGGCGCGGTAACACCGGAAACAAACGACGTGACTTTTCACAGAAATCTATGCGAAATGCTACCGATAATTATGTACATTATTTCATTCATACAATCAATAATAGTACATACAATAGATGTATGTATATATCATGTGTTTTAGTGCCAGCACAATTCCTCTGCAAAACAATAATCGTATCTTTTGCTTCTCTTTTTTTGTGGATTCTTTCAGGCCACACGCTTTTTATTATTTTTGCTGTGGGGCATTATCTTATCGCCAAATAATGTTGGCTCTTTCTATAATGCTGCCTCTCTGTCTCTATGTCAGCGCCTTTTTATCGCACGGTTCCAAAGGCAAAATAAAAATAATAATAACAGTCGCAAGCGAGGAATTGATTTCAGAAAGTCTTCCGACTATGATATACATATATACTCCATTCACCATTTAAAATTATATACTTTTGTGCTTTAGAATGTACTTTTAAATTGTTTATTTCCATAAAATGTACCTAAATTCAAAATTGTATAACTCTAGAGTTTATAGAACCCAAGATCTAATAGACTATTTCATAGAAATATCATCGTCCGAGGCATACCCTCCAAGCCTGTAAACGATGAAAGATTCCAGCTCCATTATTAGCAAGTTTTATATTATATTTTTGAATTTGTTTGTATTCAGGGGCCACTAATCCATAGAAACTACTACTTTTTTTGCTTCTAAATATATACCCCCGTCAAAGTTAACCTAAATACCAATTTTCCTAACTCTGGACCTTACAATCCTGTGTACAATCCAATATTACAATCCTCTTAATGTACAGAAAAATATTCTACCAACGCATAAAATGACTTCTCCGGCACTTCTTTGGAAACTTTTTGTTATAAAACATCCTTTAAACAAGGAGAAGTCCCATTTAGACTACAAAATTAGAAAGCTCATATTTTGGGCTGTTTGAAACACATTTTGTAAACAAACTTATATTTATTTCGCACTTTCATAACTCTAAGCCCTATACAACCCAAGATCGAAGAGTTTATTCCATCTTCCAGCTCATAGAACAGTGGATAACGCCTTCTCCTTCATGTCTATGGGTAACAGTGTACACTCTCAGAAACATGACTAACGATGGCTTGATGCCCTGCCATAAATGTGAAGAAAGGCACAGAACTAGAGCGAGCAAAGATCCATGCTTCCATGAACAAATATATATAGTAGGTATGTACAATGTACATATGTATATATCTCCTGTGTGCTTGTGGCACAAGATAGGGCCATAACGAAACGCGCCCCAACCATATAATTGTTGAACATTTCGCATTCGCACAGCTCTTCAACAACATTTTGCTCTTCAATTATTATGGAGTACGAAATTCTTGGAAATCTGTTATCAAATTGGAACCCACAAAGACCACAAAATTCCATTCAACAAACAAAACAAGCAAAGCCAAAGACAGAATAATACAAATCAAATAAATGATGGAATAAGCTATATTGCGAGTGGGGTTTCTTTTCTGGCAGTGTGTCATCGTAAAATGATATATGGGTGGGTTCGATTGTACTCACCCAAGGACGCCTCATGATCTGAAATATCCGATAAATCCTTGCACCCATTGATGGGCTCCTCTTTGATGAAGATGTTCTTCGACTGGAATAGAGAAAAATGGTTATAGAAAGGTAAAAGGCTAGATCAGAGACTTAAGCAAGCCTTAAACCTAAAGAGAAATGCTAAGGAATTAAACTCAAAAGTGTGAAAATAAGCTACACTTGGAGAGAAATAGAGCTGTCGATCCAGTTCTGTGATTTCTTTTGAACTTATCATTTTTTTCCTATGACATAGTTCATGTTTTTTTGTATTACCAAGCCACACTGGAAGAGAGATTTCTGGTCATTGCCTTTCTGTGATATCTACTGATCTTATCATTACATTCTAGTATTAAAACTTATGTTTTTTCTATTAGCAATCCATTTCCAACATGTTAGAGATTACATGTTCCAGTTGCAGAGAAAATATATGCTTTACATTGTTCGATCATCATCCAATAGATCTTTGTCTAAAGAGCATTTCTTAAGCAAGATCTTCCCCCATTAATAGAGAATTTCTTCCATAAAATTCCTTAGATTTCTTCAACAAGAATATATTTTTTGGGCATTTCTTCAAAAATATCATACAATTCTTAACCAAGATCCTTTTCAGAGAATTTCCTCCTCAAGATCATGATCTTTCTTCTAGTTCTTCCACAAGATCATCATCTTTAGGGAATTATTTCTTCATTTCTTCAGATCATGATCTTTCAGGCAATTAGCTCAAAACGATCGTCAGATTTTTGTCATTTCTTTTACAAGATCATCATCTTTATTACATATATTCAATACTACCATCTTTAGAGCGAGGTAATTTCTTTGCAGAGATCATCTATAGAACAATTCTTCAACAAGAACAAGATCGTTATCATTCGCTTACATTTCTTGCAGTCTTGTAGATCATTCTTACATCCATCTATCTTTATTGTACCGTGGAGGTACCCTTCCTCTCTCCGTGTAATATCTGTCATACAATGATTAAATCCACAACAAGGCCTCCTTCCTTCCAAATGATCGTGTGTGTGTGCTGTGTGTGTTTGTACACATTTATAAACAAGCCACTTTTACCCAATTACAAAATATATGTACATATGTCCCCTCCCCAAAGTGTAACCAGGGGAGCCAGAGTAATCAGAGCCAGCAGCAGAACATGGAATAGATTGCCAGCAATTGACGGGTGCCTCTGTGGACTGCCCCAATGTCCACGGGACAGCTGAGAGATCTCCCCCCCTGAGAGATCTGTCGTGTTGAATGCGTTCTAATAAATTGAATTGTACGTTTGACTTCCATATGGAGAGGGGATCCAGAGAGAGGTCTGCTGTGTGTCGTCGCTTAATGATAATGGAGGTCAGAATAGTCAAATGAAATGTGTATCACACACAAATTTCGAATTGGAACTCAATTCGGGGGCTCTTCTGAATGCCTCACAGGCCCCATAAAAAGTTCTCTTTTGGTTTTAGGCTTCAGTTACGTTCCGAAATGGAAACCCAAGAAGACTTTTTCTGCTGCTGCTGCCCAGACATTATAGAGATCGGATTACATTGCGGGTTGGGCATTTTCCAAGCGACTGCACATGGGCATGTCCTGAGAGAAAGGATCGTCAGGCCTTTGGGGTCACGGACCGGATGAAAGTGGTCAACGGTTCAGCGGATATGCGCTTACCGCAGGCGCTGAAACGATCCTCAAAAGATCAGCTGGAACCGAGAAAGAATGCCCCAATGGGAAGCCCTATACAAAAGCATTGTTCACGTCTTTTTTTGGTTCCTTCCAGCGTTCGGTATGGGAAGCCTTTGTCAATCGTTTCTATCGCAAGATGCGTCACAAATTAAGTGGCACGCTTCTGGCTTTTATAGCAGATACCTTTACTCTTCTGACAATAGATTGTTTACACAATAGAATTACGCCTCTGAATGCCGCAGACACGACTTTAGTATACCCTCTCCCCCAGTGCCTGCTCTTCGGAGAGATCTCCCAGAAAAGTGTGGCCGGATCGTTGGATCGTTCGGTAATAAATATTTAAAGGGTGTTGGATAAAAAGCAAATAGCATGATACATAATAATTGCGTTTTCGTTTCGTTAACCAAATTTAGAATCCACTGGCATCTACGTGTTTTGCATTCCGAATTGAGGTCTCTCTCTCTCTCTCTCGATGGCTGTCATCGATCGTTGCAGTGGCTGTCAAAGTGGCACAGAAAACGATGGACAGACAGACTATCGATCGATCAGCCAGAGAAGCGTTTAAATATAGAAATTATAGAATTTATGCAGCCATCGATCAGTAAGCGGCTCTACGTGCGAGTCCTTGAAGAGTTAGAAATCAATGATCATCGATCATCGACTGTTTGCTTAACGAGATCTTGAAATGAAAGATTGATCTTCTTTAAATATGCAATGCAAATAGAAGAGTATCCAATCATTTGGGGCGACTAGAGATCGCATAGCTCATCCAGTTCGTTGAATACACTCACAGTGTGGCTTAGCAGTGACATCCATTGTTCTTAAATGGGGATATGGGGAGATTATAATTGTTATATAGCTTACAGAGATCTTCTAGAACACATAGAGATCTTAAAATGGTTGTGGATCGTAGTCTTATAATGATCTGGAACATGAGGGGTATTCTATGTTCTTCAGGTTCTACAATTCTAGAATTCATCTTGAATCTGATGAAAGCTGATCAAAGAAAATCTTTCGCTGGAAATGGTTCTTAGTCTTAGAACCAGTAAAATGATAGATATTCTTCAAATATGACCGTTTTCCATAGAAAATATTAGAGACCTTTTTCTTTTTTATACTCTGTCTCCCAAATTGCACTCAAAGAGCGCGTAATACCCTCTCTGTTTCTCTTATTTCACAGCTAGCTCTCTACCAGTGAGTACGGGGGTATCTTAGTGTCGCGGCACGTGATTTTGTATAGAATAAAAGAGGGATTAATAGAGTTTTCCCTTGAAATGCATGTCCTTACCTCCACTAAACTCGATAGAAATGTGACTTTTCGGTTCTTCTTGAGCCTCATGTTGCTGTTGGTGTTATTGCTGTTCAGGATCGATGGCACCACCGATGGATGAATGCTGAATGTGGAATTGTGGCACAAAGTATTGTGGCTGCTGCTATTTGGTTGCGATTTGAACCGATGGCCAGCGTTGAAGCCGTTGAACAGTTCGTTGAGGTTGTGAGAGAAGGAAAACTGTGCAACGGACGACGAAGAGTGGTCGGGTCCTCCGGTGGCAATGGCGGTGGCTTGCGGGGGCAACGCTGGTGGTGGCAGCATAAACTTCGTGGCAGATAGATCTGTTTTACAAATCGCCAATTCCATATTGTGAAGGCATCTGAAAAGGGGAAAACGGAAAAAGGCAAAATTAGTAAACAAATCAATGCAAAAGGAAAAGCGGAAAATGAGTGCCACAAATGGGTGGTGGCAATTATCGCACAATTATCAAACCATTTAGCAGTCATTTTTATTGGACCTCGTTTACACCTCCTGTTCGCACCTCTGACTCGTGCCTGTCTCTGTCTCTCTCTCTTTGTTGATTCAACAAATTATGACACTTTTGCAACATCAAAGGCCGCCTCCCATTGAGGTGCACACAGAGAGCCACAACAAAAGGCACCGCCCATGGACACACTTTTGTCCGATATTTAAACAGCATCCATCCATGGCGTGGCCTACGAGTATACGAATGTTCTATGGATTTTAAGGCGGTTTCCCCAAAGGGTTTTTCAATATATATACATATATTTCTAATGGGTTCTCCTCTTTAGAGTTTTCAAATATTTACTCGGGCCTAACAGCGGATGATTATGATGTTGTTTGGGGATTTGGGACCTCATTCAAACAACAAAAAACATCAAAAATTACTTTGAAGTACGACAAAGACAGACAGACAGAGAGAAAGAGAGAGAGAGAGAGAGAGATCAAGCAGATAGACAGACAGGAGAGATCTTCTTTTCGTTTTTTACCCGATATATTCCATGTGTTCGGGTTTTAGGCTAAACAGATTTCACCCTTCAGCTTCTAATTTGCTCTGTGGTTTCTGTGGATCTGTTTTTATGATTTTCAATAGAACTTCTAGCTATTTTTAGGGTTCTTCAACTAAAAAATAGTTAGGAAAATCTTTAAAAACATAGAGAGGGCAAATTATTCAAGGAGAGGGTATGATAGTGATTGCGCGCTCTTTGAGTAGAAACAAACCCACCCTTAACTGCTAAGCCACACTGGGGCAGCAATAGAAATAGCAAGCGAGCGAAAGAACCCTTTAAAACTCACTTTTTAATACTAAGCCACACTGCGACAGAGAAATTAACGAAAAGCAAGCTCATCTCCTAAGTCCCACATCCTTTTCCCTTCTCTCTGTGTACTCCTTCTTCAAGTATTCATCATCCCGCACCATGGATACAAATTTCAACCCAAAACCCAAGTCCAAATCCAAAAAAGAATAATAAATTCTTAGGGAATTTTTATCAAACGGAAGTGCCAGAGCAGAGATAAGCCAGACCGAGACCGAAGAGTAGAAATCTCCAAAGCACCAATGAGGGTTCGGATTCGGGTTCCTATGAGGGTTCCTCACTCACTTGCCCCATCAAGTCCATCTTGAGTGATCCGTCGCCCCCAGAAAGTGGGATAAAGTATTCAGAGGCTGTGTTTCGATTTCTTACACTCCCATCCCAGCAAGTATTAGGGTTTTAAGGGGCCTCCTTTGCCAGCAAGTAGGGTCTCTGGTTTTCATTACTGATGCTGGATGCTGATTCTAGACTATAAATAAATATAAGCCACGGTTGCCCGTTGCCCGAGATAAATCCCAGTAAATTACGCATTAGCAATTACGAGTGTATTTACATTAAATACAAGTACGCCTTGCGACTGATAAAAACATTTTAGTGATAAACAATACGAAAGAAAAGAGTAATACCCAAAACGGGGGCACAAGACATGCGATAAAATCCAAGTGGATTCTCGAGTGAGCAACGTTTTGAAGTCCAGAAAACAGTTCAAGAACTAATAAGGTGTTGATCTAAGGAATTTATATTCTTCTAACACTGCTCTACCGCCTTTCTCTATCTCTCTTCCAGTGTGGCTTAGCGGTTAGCGATAAAAGAGGATTCTGAAGAGAGCAACGTTTTGTAGTCTAAAAAACAGTTCAAGAACTAACAAGGTGTTGATCTAAGGAATTTCTATTCTTCTAATACTGCTCTACCGCCTTTCTCTATCCCTCTTCCAGTGCGGCTTAGCACTTAGCGATCAAATCCAAGTGGATTCTGAAGTGAGCAACGTTTTGTAGCCTAGAAAACAGTTCAAAAACTAATGGGGTGATGATCTTTATTATTTCGATTTTTTATTCTTCATTCACTACCTTCCAATGTTTATAATATTCGCTACTAAAAATCATCCCAAATGTTTTATTTATTATGGAAAATGTGAATGCAGACCTATTAAAATATCATTTGTTTATGGGAAAATAATAATAAAAGCTTGAAAAAAACAAACTCTTTGAATGTAAGCATTTTTTAATGAGGTTCTGATTGACTGAATACTTAAGTAGAACCATTAGGTTTAATGTATTTTGATTTTTATTTAAAATATGATTGGATCTGATATACAAAGTTTTCAGGGGTAATAATATGATGTCCAGAAAATTTATGGATTTTTCATCCAATGTTTATCTAAGTCCATCTAATCGGGATGCCAATACGTTCACCATTTGTACAATAATTACTTGTAAAAACAAGATCGAATGAGTATAGTATATACTATATAGTGTGTATAAGAGTTAAGAAAACTATTATTGAAGAAGATTTGAAATCAATATTCATTCTTTACGTCTTGGATCGTCATGACTGATGGATGTACGTTTGATGTACACGCAAAACTTAGACGATTTAACGATAGATGATCGGGTTTCACGCAAACACAATACAACAATAATAATAATGCATCACGAGAAAGATAAAAATACTACAAGGAGTTCTTGGGTTAGGGATTTTGATTATTGTATATGATTAATATTCGTTCTTTAAAAACTGTTTGCCAAGAAACATTCCAATTAAACCTTTTTCTTCCCTTTTGTATGCACAATTTACAGAAGAGACTTCAGATCAGGAATTGAATAGAATTGAAGGTAATAGTAAATCAGCCTCAACAGCATCATTAAATATTCGTAAACCTTGGGGGAAAAACTTTACCCAAATCTACACAGACATATCTAGAATACGACTATATATAGCTATCAGCTGAGTATCTCTTACTTCAAAGAGAGTATCTGAGCATATGCCAGGCAAGTGGTCGGCTAATTAGATACGGTATGCAAATACAGGGAGTGGGAGGGGAAAAACTGTCGCATCGGTGACGATTTCGTTCAAGTTTTCGTCTCGCCTTCGCTTTCTCCCTTGCTCTCCTTCGTCATCTGTGTTTTTTTTTTTGTCACAGTTATCTAGGGGCCTTATCTAGAGTTATCTACATACACACACACACATGCATATGTAAATCGCCCCTTGAAATGCCGCCATATTCGCGATCTGGATCTGAAAACTGTAAGAAAAACAAGAACAAAGAAAGAGCTCTGCCTGGGATATGATCGAAGCTGGAAATGCCCTTTAAATGCCCGTCTATCCCGACAGAAACAAATCGGTTTCTCATAAACCTTCTCTCTCTCTCCCAGTGTGGCTTCGCAATGGAGGGTACTTTTTTCTCTCGAAATTTCCTGCAGATATAGTGCTTGTGTTTTTTTGTATTATTTATAAAAGGAAACAGAAGTTATTAGTTCTTTAAGATAATTTCTAAAAAGATTATTTCTCTGAACAAATTAGGCAAAATATGGGATTTATTTCAGGCTGTTTTCGCTTTTATAATTTTTAAAAGCAGAGCTAAAAAAGCTAACTTTTTAAAGAATTAAAGGGAACATTAATTCGCATAGAACGTCTCAAATCAATCTGGAAACAAATAAATCTTTTAAACATACAACATTTTGAATATATTGTAGAGAGAAATATTATATAGAGAAATTTAGAGAAATCTTTCTTCAAGCTAACAGAATGAATATTCCTCAAGGGTATTTTACTGCAGGGTATTCGAAAATGAAAAACCGTTGCATAAATTTCTTGTTTTGTTTTTTTTTTTTTTTGTGTTTGCGAAATCAATTTTTGATTTGATTTGCTGATTTTCTGTGTCCAAAGCAGCGGCTGCTTGGGTGGAGAGGAGATCTCAACCGAAAGACACACATATCATACGATATATCCGCGATATACAGTCGCATGCCCATTCAGAATCAAGTGAATGTGCACTGAAAAAACGAATTTAAGTTAATCAACATTTAAATGGATAATAAAATACAAAAATCACCAACAGCCGAGTGCAACAGAGTGCCGCAAAGCCTTCTCATTCTGCGACCATTGATTGAACAATGTAGAACACACAGATCATACGAATTCAAGCAAAATATATGTGGTACCCATAGATACGGTATTACTTGTGTGTTGGGGTTCGTTATATATAGATGGGGGTATTGCATTTTGTGGCTTTTGGTTTTTGGTAAAAATACTAAATGCAATTTTTCACACACCCAAAAATATCTAATTTATTGACGCATTAAAGTGCTCTGGCCTAGCCGCAAAAGATAATTGGCATCATTTTTGGCACCACAAATTGATTTCTGGTTTCAGATCAGCGAAAATACTAGAGCCTTAAGGGGTTTTTAAGGGATGGATTTTATAGGGTATTTATAGCTTCTTTCTTGGGAAATTCTTGAGGAATAGAGGAAAGTTTATCCTCTTCAAATCTTTAAGCTCTAAATCGAGCATCTTTTGTAATTTATTACAAATTACGAAGCTTGGGCCAGAGAGACTGAGTTACGGATACGTTTCACCAAGAGAGTCTCTCTTTTGGTCCTAGAAACCCCGTCTCAAGTGCCACACAGAAATTATAAAACGAATGTTAAGTAAATGCATTTTATAATCAAAAATTTCAACCATGAAGATCAGTGGGTTCCCATAAGTGAGGTCTTTTTACCCCTTGGCCCTCGCTCTCTGTCTTTGCCTTTCTGTGTATCTTTGAAGACCAGTTTCAAGATCCTTTTTCCATAAATATCCAACAGATACAATTACAGTTCAGTGCACAGTTCGTTCGTTGCCCCATGCCACGTTTTGATGATGCTAAAAGTATCAACCTGCTGCAGACAGTCTCGAGAGGAGAGAGATCACAGATTGATCCCAAGACAAGATACAGATACAACAGACACACACACACACACATACAGGCAGATACACAACACACAGACAGAGATCTTCTTTAGGGGCAACACATGTGCGCGCAGGCGCAAACACAGGCAGGTCCCCGATCCCGTCTTAAAAGCAAGGATCATCATTCGTTTAAGAGCCCTTTTTCAGCAGACATTGGAAAAGAAAACAAAAAGAACAGCAACTAAATATGTATTCTACCGTTACGTACACACCAAGAAAAATTGCACCCCTATTTGTGTGTGCAGCAAAAGGGAGGACTGTGTGTGCGGTGTGCACCATATCGAAAGATCATATTCGTTTACAATCTGTTCCTTCTTCAAGCAGATGCTGTGCACCAGACGCAGACGCAAACGCAGACTCCAGACACATACAGAGATACAGCCAGGGACCCGCCGCCAGAGATACAGATACACGTCTCACTGGGAGAGAGTTCTTCCATATTTGATTTTTGCTCTTTTTTCCAGAGAAAACATATGTTCCCCCCTTCTTATGCTCCGATTTTCATGTTGTTTCTCTTTCTCTTCCAGGTGTTTTTTTTTTTTTTGTGTTATCTACTCTGTGTCGTCTGGGTGTTGGCGATAAGGTTTTTTTTGCGCGGTTCTGTTGTTAAGATATAATATAGTTTCACCTTTCGACTCTATTTTTGAAGCTGAAAATCGAACTAGCACTGAGTGCATGTGTACCCCCCAAATCACAATCAAAAAATACTTTTTATTCGAGGATTTGGTAGCGAAAAATCGAAGACATTTGTGCCATATTTTTGATGAGGGTTCTTTCCATTATCTATCGCTTTCTTGGGAGGGGGCAGGAGGAGTGGAACTAGGACTTCGCCCATTGATAAGAATAATTTGTTTAAAAATTCACAACAGAATGAGGAATTCGCTTGGAAATTTGGTTCTCTAAACGATAAGAAAATAGAGAGAGGGAATCGTATATTATAACTGTAGAATAAATGAAACCCCAAGGTTAATCTTTATCGAAAGCTGGTTTTATTTATGGGAATGTCTGGGAGAGTACTTTCCCCAAAAATAAATTCAATAAATATCGTAAAACTGGAATGTGGGAGGTACTTTTTCTAAAACAAACCAAAAGTGTGTTCCTATAAACCTAGAGAACCCTGTTTCGTTTCACTAATCCGGAGATTCATTCGTAGACCTAAGCTAAGATCAGTGTAATTATAGATTCCCGCAGGAATAACCCATAACCAATTATCCCATAACCCTTGACCCTTAAGCCTTGTTAGATCTTTCCGAAACTTCCAAAATGATAATCCCAGACGAGTATCACTTTGATCATATATTTGTTCACACATTGGGGTTTGGGTGATTGGGAGGGAGAGAGGGGTAACCTTTCTCGCTGCAGAGCAATGGCCAAGAAAAAAGCAATCAAAAATGGGTTCGGTTCGGGACCGGAAACTGTAAGAGGAACACAGTAGTAATTTCGATCGCTGGTTCCCACCACAAGGGTTGTGGAAGTGCACACAGATACACACTTACACTGTCACTCACTCTCTCTCTTGGCCATGAGTATCGGAATCAGTGGCAACAACCAATTCCAATTCTGTGGCAAGCAACGAGTTTTATAGGCAGCACTATCCTGGACTGAATCGAGCGGATAGTTAAGATCGCGCAGGGAAACCAGTTTTCCCCTAGATTCCGATTCCGATTCATTCAAGAAAACAGGCAACAGGCAGCGCACTCACACACACACACACACACAAGCACACACTCGAAAAGGGTTTACAGGGGGACTACTGTTTTTCAACACTTTACACTCACCGGCGGTGGGGGGTTAATAAAATAGCGCCGGGTATAGACAAACGCCCCTCAAAAATGTGGTAGAAGGTTGAATTTCGTGTGGTTCGGTTCTATTCTTTGCCTCTGGTTATCCGCTTCGCCGTGGTGTTCGTTCACTCTTTTTATTAGGGTATCTTCAAATTAATTACAGCTTCAAATTAGGCGCATAATCTTGATCGAAGCAGGATAGCTATCTCTCTTTCTCTTTCGGTATACGGTATACGTGAGTGTCTCTGGAGGGGATCAGCAGGTTGATTAGGGCCCGTAAACGCGAAACCGTGGTTAGAGACAGAGAGGGGAAGAGCGCCGACAGATTACGTGCCTGAAACAAAGCGAACGAAAGGAAACACACACACACAAGAAACAGCCGAGAGCCTCGGATTTAGTTCGGGCTTTAGTTCGGCTTATAAGAAGGAACGTTGGATGTCGATGTCGATGCCGATGCCGACGGATCAGAGGAGTGCGACCCACGCACACATAGAAAATCACACGCGAAACACACAAACACACTCACACGCGATTGATGTATTTTTAAGCGCTTTTTGTGGTTTTTTGGTAGATTTTGTTTTGCTCGACCGATTTTGCGGCAGGGGTTTGTTTGTATAAACTTTTCATCTGTATTTTTTGACAGATATTCTATATAATATTTTCTGATTTTCTATTGCACTTTGAGAAGAATCACTCGCGAGTCGCGATCACTGTATGTTTTTGTTTTTCGAACACCTTAACCGTTATTACCGACCGAAGCAAAAGAGAAAAATTGAGTGCGAAGCAGCAGGCAGCAACAGGCCAGCAATATCAGCCGCGACAGCGGCAGCGACGCCGACGCGTTTCTCGGGCACAAGTGAGCGGCAGAGAAGAGAGCCAAACGCAGAGAGAGAGAGAGATAAAGAGAGAAAAGGCAAGAAGAAGAAGCGACGCAACAACTGCGCCCCAGACTTAGGCTGGACACTCTTTCCCTCCACTGATAACGACAGAATATAACAAAACGAAACGAAAATCGAGAGTATTTTGCACTGTGGACATGTGTGTGTGTGTCGTTACGTACGGGTGTATGCATGTTCCGATTTGGCAAATCAACTTTTGTCAAACGCACAGCAACAACAAAATCAAGGAGAGCAGAACAAACGCGTGGGAGACTGAGAGAGCGGCTATTTTCTACACTGACACACACACAGGCACATTCTTGGGCGCAGCATGAGTAAAAAGAAAATCAGAAAAATCAGAATTACATATTTAGGCAACAAAAACAAATGCAATATGCGGCGGCGACAAATGCAAAAGCAAAAACAAAATCTGCGTGGTCAGAACTGTGTGTAAGTGCAAAAATACATACATACAAACCGATTTATGAGCGTGCGTGTGTGAGTGGGCAATCATTTTTAGCAAGCATTGGCACAGTGGTCGCAAGACATTAAAGTAGTGGAGACAAATTGGATGAAGTGGGAAAAAAGGCTTGAAAAGAGTTCATTGTACATATTGTATACTAGATCTATTTAAATTTCCATTACCATCAACGACAACCACTGTGCATTGGAAAGAGAGTCTTTGCCCAGAACTGGGACTCTACTACCGCACACAGAAACAGGTTTATGTGTATGCACACATAGAGATACAAAAACAACACCAAAATAAGAGCCTGTGTTTTATTTTTTATATTCTGGCAACGCATTTCGCATAAATTACACACACACGAGCATAAATACATGCATATGCAGGGGCGGCACAACCAGCTGCACCCAAAAGAGAAAAAGGGCAATAAGATTCGAAGTGATCTCTCGGACCGCGGGCAGAGGCAGCCTTGCATAACGATACACACGTGCAACAAATATGGGGTTGCAGCGACGAGATTGTCAACTTCTGTAATTAAATTGCTGCACAGGGATCGTATCCACCGGTGAACGAGACAAGTGCAGGGCGCACATAGCGAGAGCGGATTTCGAGAGAGCATGCGCAGCAGCGCGCTCTCTCTCTCACTTTGCTGCCACTGCAGTTTTACTACTCGTGTAGGTGAGCCGGATTTTATGAATGAATGCGCTGGTGTGTGTAGTGTGATTTCGGCGAGGTAGTAAAAACTGGAATGGAAAATGAAAATTATAAAGAACTGCAGCGCACACACATGTCCAACAGAAGAACTAACTCAAGTGGCCACCATGTGGGCCAGCTGCTTGGACATACTCGAAAGTACTAAACTCAGGAGAAATGCACATAAACTGCAAATAAATCAATTACCATGAAATGTAAAATCTATTTTTAAATTGAGCACAATCGATTGTGTTGAGGCGCACAATGGTCGTTCGATAAGTGCAAGCCGATAAATACAATACCAAACAATTTTAGTATTAATCCCAAACGCACTAGTGCTTTTTTGTCCATTTGGCGCGCACTCGGCTCTTTTCGATCCATTTGAATCGGGTAATGTTCTCTTTTTCGCTCTCTTTGAATTGGGTAGCAACACTGATTCTCCATCACACATGGGCAACATTCTGATACCCTAGGGAAAAGGATATTATTGAATTGCGGAAATATTTGTCATCCCAGGCAGTCACTAGACAGTCTCAGTTTTAAACTATATTTTGCAATTAGTGGTCTTTTTACAGAGGCCAAGAATCAGTTTCGGGATCAAGATATACACGAAACTTAAAAACAGTATCTTCAAATTAAATTAACGAAATAGGGTATACAAATGCCCATACTCTGGTTGATGAGCAACAAGTCTTCAAATGCCAGCAACATTGCGACTGTTTTTTTGTCGAACTTTTTTGTTTAAACCTTGTTTTTATGAAAATACCAATAAGTGTACTGAAGAGTAGTTAATCTTGTATAAAATGTATTCATCAACGGCATAAAACTATGTGGGCAGAGCTGACGGTTTTAGTTAGTCAGCATTATTCAACGGAATATCAAAATTGAGCAATAGGAACGATTAATGGACCTCTCCAATGAGGACTTTTTCGTCTGACCTGGAAGACTGGATGGCATCTAACTAAGTCGTCCCTCCGTCCACATGGACTGCCTCTGCTGGGTGATGCTGGGTGCTGTTGGACTCTCAGGAGACGAAGGCGGTGGGCAAGACCAAGCTGAGCTACGATCCCGTGGAGCTGGATCCCGAGGACATGTGCCGCACGGCCGTAACAGGTGCCGGCCAATCACTCCGTGTCGGATGCTGTGGCATGTAACGAGTAACGAAGAGAATCTTCGCACGATGAAGCTGGTGGTCGGCTAACTGAAAAGGAGTACGCGCTCGCTTTCACGGCTGGTCTCTGGTCGGAAATGGGGATGGGTTCTTTGGGGTAACCCTCCAGTTAGGTTGCTTCGTTCCTGCTGGTATTATTTTATTAAAATTCGCGTACTCTTTTTGGGAATGGGAGGGGGACAGACAAGGAAAGGATCGTTAGGGGTACAGAAAGTATAGTTGGGCAAAGATAGTATAGAGAAGGAGTAGGGATCTACCAACGCGTCGGACATCTCTGTTTTGCTGGCACGGAGTCGTGCCACGCCCACCCTACCATGATCCTGAAAGAGCCAATAATAATATCAGGATCCCTGGAGTGTCCGGTCTTATAGGTCCGGAGTGTTCCCGCGGCGAAAGATCTTTCGTAGCTGGGCATGTTGCTGTGTGTGAGTGCATTAAGCTTTTACCTGCAAACCAAAAACAAAATCGTACAGCGCGTGCTGCATGGCATAAGCTCGCGGATGTGTCCCGGCCGAGCGAACGCTTTTAAGCTCAAACTTTTAAACTTTTATAAAATGCATTTTTAAACATTCCATGTGTTGTTTGTTTATATATCCAACTACACAAAAACAGACATATCAACGGACTGCGAGGTTCAAGGGAATGCGAGTCACGGTTTCAGTTTCTTGGCCCGGTTTTGAACGCGAAACGGTTACGCCAATTCGCCGCACTAAGCCCGTTCAGACGGATGTCTTCGCCTCGCGCAGCCAAAGTTCACTGCCCGCGACATGGTGGATCAGCTGGTTCGTAGTGAGGGGGCTTAAAGCTCGGGCTGCAGCTTTTGGATACTTCCCAAACTAAGTGCCGATTCTAATGTGGAATTTGAAAATACTGATCAGGCTACTTTTTCTAACAGTTACTGAATGCACATATTTACCCTGTTGGAACTGGCACTTCCTTCTTTCTCCAGGTTTTTTTTTTGTGTTGGGGCTGCTGACCTCCAAGCGGAAACTACAGAAAAAGTCGGAAAATCTAACTTCGAGGCTCCTAGCACTGTCGAAGGCCGGTACTCACGTTTTCGATTAGAGCCCAATCTGCTTTCTTGGGTTATTTTATTTATTTTTTTTCTCACCGCGCAACTGAATGCTTGTACGGCCACGAGGAGAAAGAACGATTTGAGCGGATCTACTGACCAACAAAAGTGTTGTTCTCCGGATCTGCCTTTGCACGATCCTTCGCCATTCACCTTGAACGGTTATAGAAATGGTGGGGAGATTTTTGTTCGTTTTTAAGCATATTCTTAATGTCAACCCTAGGTGGCGCTAGCCCCACACGACAAAGAACATTTAACATGTCACACCACAACAAGAAATTAAGCCAACCTAACTATACACTAACTATGGTTAATAAACTTAATAATTAATAAGTATCTCGGTGAGGTGTGATATATACTTGTATAAATAAATATATTCATATATACCATATATGTATATACATATATAAATTGTACAAATACCATCGGCATACTTTCAGGCGAAGAACAGAAATATGCTTTCCTATCCGCCCGACAAGTCCGACAAGTCATAGTCAGACTCTTCATCGTTTGTAGTGGTGTTATTGTTGTTGTTGTTGTTGCTATTTAGCATTGCTACTAGTTTCTCTAGTCTTTCGTTTTTTTCCGTCAGGCGTTTTATTTCTGCCATGAGGTCGTCATTCACCGTCATCCCCTTGTTCTTGTTCCATCATGTCATCAACGTCACTTCCATCGCCATCGGGCTCCCGGTGGTTGACATGGGCCGGGTGGTCCATTTCACGATGATTTTCCTGAGTTTTCACTGTACGTGTCTTTTTTGTTTTTTGTTTAATTTTTATTTTTGGTTTTTTGCACTTTCTGCGATTTTACTTTTGTAGTTATTGGCTTGTTGTCCAGTGTTCTTATTACGACTGCTGATAGTGCCTTGTCCGCAGTCAGCCAGCTGACTGGTCGTATTGTGAAAAAATTGAAAATTGTGAAAAAATTGTGAACAATTGTGAAAAAGTGATAAGGAACAAAATTGTTTTCAACAAAAGAAAAGTGCAAAGGCAATTAAAAACTGGCAAATAAATTAATGAAATAGTGGAAATAAGGGAGCGGAGACACAAACAAACACAGACACCTAAACACAAACAAATACCAAAAAAACCAAAGAGATTTTTTCAAAGAGATTGTGTATTGTTTGTTGTGCTGGGTGTGCTGCTGTGCGCTGTCACTTGCCGTTACTGTTTATTCTACTATTTTTATTATTGTGCATCTATTGCGCTGTACTTGGCCATTGGCCATTAGAAGAGCCCTGTACGAAATAGGCTGTCTGGGCATTCGTTGAAGCGCCCTGTA